CGGACGCATAAATCGCACCAGGCGTCGTCGTACGCCGGACCAACGATGCATCATAACATTAACTAGTTGTTAGACAGGCGGCAGGAATAGGAGCATCCTCACGCGCACGCAATTAGACCCCCGCCGTGAGATGCGTCGGTGGCTGTGAGGCAGGTGGGGACATGCCTGGGAGGCTGAAAGGGCTTCCGGACGCATAAATCGCATCAGGCGCCGTCGTACGCCGGACCAACGATGCATCATAACATTAACTAGTTGTTTGAAGGGCGGCAGGAATAGGAGCATCCTCACGCGCACGCAATTAGACCTCCGCCGTGAGATGCGTCGGTGGCTGTGAGGCAGGTGGGGACATGCCTGGAGGCTGAAAGGGCTTCCGGACGCATAAATCGCATCAGGCGTCGTCGTACGCCGGACCAACGATACATCATAACATTTCTAGTTGTTAGAAAGGCGGCGGGGAAAGGAACATCCATACGCGCACGCAATTAGACCCCCGCCGTGAGATGCGTCGGTGGCTGTGAGGCAGGTGGGGACATGCCTGGGAGGCTGAAAGGGCATAGATCGCATCAGGAGCCGTCGTACGCCGGACCAAGGATGCATCATTACATCAACTAGTTGCCAGAAAAGCGGCGGGGAACGATTCTTCATCAGTCACGCTCGCTAGCCAACCATCATGGGGAAGGGATGTAAGACCGTCATCCTCTGGGATGGGTCGAAATACTCCCACTGGCTCGGCGAGTTAGGCGATTTCCTCTCAACGTCCAAGTTGAAGAGCTACATCAACAACCCGTCGCCTCCGAGCCGCAACTCCCAAGACGCCCTGGAGGAGGACGCACAGGCGCTCAGCTTGCTGCGTCTGTCCTGTGAACTGCCCATCAAGCAGTTGCTCATGAATTGCCCAACCGGTCTCGCCGCCATGCAGCTCTTACAGCAACAGTTCCGTTCTGCATCCCAGGCCCGGCTGAGCCTGGTTGAGCCGCAGATGCAGCTGAACATGCGCGATGGGGAGACAACCGCTGACTTCATTTAGCGGGCAGAGCAGCTCCGTAGCGATATAATTGTGGCCGGCGGCCAGTGGGACGAGAGCACGGTGCGCCACGCCATTCTCCATGGCCTGCCTCCGCAGTACGCCATCACCATCGAGTTCACGATGTATCAGCCCAACTTAACGACCCCACAGCTCGTGCTCATGCTGCGGGAGAAGGACAACAACCTCAAGACCCAAGCAAGCCAGACCAGCCTGGTGGGAGCTGTCGGCCCTGGCCGTGCCCCCAGTGGAGTCGGCAGCACCGCCAGTGCTGCAGGCGCCGTGGGGGCCGGCGACACCTGCCGCTACTGCGGACAGCCTGGTTACTACATCTGCGAGTGCACCGTTAAGCAGGCGGACGAGTCCGTCGGCCTTCACCACAGCAACGCATTCGAGCAGCTGCACGCCGCAGGCAACATCAGTTGAGGCAGCCGCAACCGCCACTGTGACGGCGGCGGCAGGGACACTGGCAGCGGCAATGGTGGCAACAGCGGGGCCGACGGAACACTCGAATGCGGCCGTGCTCGATGCGGCAACAGCCACCGCAACGGTGGCGACACTGCAGGCGGCAGCAGTGGCAGCGGCTCGGACAGCAGCGGAAGCAGCTCACGCCAGAGCCGTGCCACAGTGCTGGTCATCGATGGCAGTGGCAGCAGCTCACGAGTCATCCTCGACTCAGGCTCACCGTACCACCTCACGGGTGACCACTCCCTGCTGCACAACCACGTCCCCGCCGGCGCGCCACGGCTGATCGAGTGGGGCAACAACCAGCTGGCCGATGTCATGGGAACAGCGCAGTTGCACCTGCGTACACGTGATGGACACAATGTCCGGCTGCACAACATGCTGCACGTCCCCAGCTCGGGCCTCATCCTAACATCTGTCAACCTTCTCGTGACACGCAGCTGCTCAGTCACATTCAGCACGGACAAGACGGGCTGCTGGTTCTCATGCATCGGCCTCCCTCACAACAGCCCGTCTATCACCGCATGGAATGAGCGTGGGCACTACGCATGGACGTGGACCTGCAGGCGCCGACCGACGTCACCGTCAATGCCCTCGGCACCGTGGGCGACAGAGCCGGTGGGGGCCAGGCCGCAGTTAGCAGTGCTGGCGGAAGTGCCGCCGCTGTCCCCAGCGCCCGTGGCGGCAGCACCGCCGGCAGCCACACCGGTGGAGGCCAGCCGGACGGTGACAGCAACGGCAAAGGGCAACCAGGCAACGGCAGCCCCGGGGCCGCCGAATGCTCAGTCGCCGAACTTGCGGCAGCACAGCGCCAGTACGGTCACCTCGGTTACCGCGTGCTGGAGCAGCTGATCAGCAAGTAGCTGGTGCAGGGACCACAGGTCACTCCAGCAGCACTACGCCAGGCGGCGGAGACCGTCTGCGAGGCCTGTCTCACCATGAAGGCCACCGTAACCGCCCATCCCAGCCGCAGCAACCGGCCGCAGCACGCACTGGAGGTCGTACACTCTGACCTGTGCGGGCCCATGCCGACCATGGGCCGAGGGGGCGCACACTACTTGCTGACGCTGCTGGGCGGTGCCACCAGTCTGTCCGCCGTACGCACGCTGGCCAGCAAGAGCCAAGTGGGTGAAGTGCTGCAGGACATGGTGACGCAGCTGGAGGCCCGCCACCTGAACCATGCAGGGGTGCACACGCTGCACAGCGACAAATGCGGTGAGTACATCGCCGAGCAACTGCGGCAGTGGCTGCGCCAGCACGGCACCCTGCACACCCACTCGGCATCATACACCCCGGAGCAGAACGGAGCGGTGGAGTGACTCAACCACATGCTCCTCGGCCGTGTGCGGGCGATGCTGCACGACGCAGCACTCCCGGGCAGCTACAGGCCGGAGGCTGTGCTCTACACCAACCTCCTGCGCAATGTTTCCCCCTCTCGGGGTCGGGAGGCCACGCCGTGGGCAGCTTATCACGGCATCCCCCCCCACGTCAGCCACCTCCACACCTTCAGCTGCCTGGCCTACGTCCGCATCCCACCCAGCCAGCAGGACAAACTCGGTCCTCGTGCAAAGGCGGAAACCTACCGCCGACCTGAGCACGGCACGGCCGCCCACAGCATCCTCATTGAGGGCAAGGTGACCGTGAGCAGCGACGTCACCTTCAATGACGACCGCCACAGCCCGGTTCACAACGGGCGGGCACCCCCTTCGGCACTAGCCCCGCCTGCCCCGGCGGCAGCGACCCCATCGGCGGCTCTACACCGCCCACCAAGCTGCCGACCCCAGCGGCCGCCCCACCTCCGGTGACCCCAACACCACCCCTCCACCCCAACACCCGCAGTCAACGGCAGTCCCTGCACACTCCCGCTGGCCCCGGTCAGTGACGGCCCGGGCCCCCCGACAGCAGCAGCAGCGGCGGCGGCGGAGAGTCGGGAAGTCCACCGCTGCTCGGGTGGTAGCGCTGACAGCGCTCGGTCTAACATGCCCGATGGCAGTGGCGGCGGCGGAGGCAACAGTGCAGAGCACACAGCCAACGACATGCTGGTGACGGCGGACAACCTGCAAGTGGTCGCGGCCACCAAGGCAGCCATCGCCGGTTGCTTCACAGTGCGTGACCTTGGCGAGGCGCACTACTACCTCGGCATGAAGATCGTCCGGGATGGCCGCAACCGCTGCATCGTGCTCACGCAGCAGCGCTATGTGGAGCAGCTGCTGCAGCGCCACAGCCTGGAGAATGCCAAGCCGCGCGCCACCCTGCTGCCTCAGGGCATGTGTGCTCTGCCAGCCAGCGACGCCCAGCCAACAGTGATTGATGGCAGCGGCTACCGTGTGCTGGTGGGCGAGCTGAAATACCTCGCCACCAGCACACGCCCGGACATTACACACACTCTGAGCATGCTCGTGTGACACATGCCCGTCCCGACCAAGGCCCACATGGGCCTCGTGCTGGGCATGATGCGCTACCTATCCGGCACCTGCACACTCGGGCTGCGGTACCGTGGCGACAGCTGCAGCGACACCAGTAACTGCGGCGGGTACCCGATGATGTGGACTGGGCCGGCGACCCAGCCACCCGACGGTCCACCACGGGCTACACATTCTTGCTCGGCAGTGCAGCGGTCAGCTGGAGCAGCCAGTTGCAGCGCACCTTGGCTGCCTCGTCCGTGGAGGCCGAGTACCAGGCCGCCGCAGCAGCCGTGCACGAGGCACTATGTGGCTGCGCAAGCTGGCGGGCGACCTGGACCTGTCACCCGGCGCCATCAACATCCAGCTGGATTCACAAGGCGCGCTCAGCCTCGGCAACAACCCCATCACGTTGGTGCGCTCCAAGCATATCGATGTGCACCACCACATCATGCGTGAAACGGCCGTGCACGGTGAGGTTAAGCTCAGCTATGTACAATAGCTATGTACCACCAACAACACGGTGGCTGACATTCTCACCAAGGCACTGGGTGAAATCAAGTTCGTGCACTGCCGCACGGTGCTGGGCGTCACTAAGATCGACAGAGCACCATGCGAGGGGGAAGTGGAAAAATGCTGAGGGCTTAAAAGAAGTGTGTCGAGGTAGGGGGGCACCAAGGGCGCGTGGGCAGGCGCCCGAATGGGCAGGTTAATGCCCGAAGGGCGCCGTAGGCAGGGCATAAGGTGCTGTGCCGTGCTGTTTTCCGTGTGTGCTTGGACTGCGGCACCAGACCGCAAAGCCAACAGGCTGAAGGCTGGCAAGCTGCGATTGTGTCTGCTGAGCGTTGAGCAGCCGGCCTGGACCGCGGACTTGGCGGCCGAGCGAGCTCGTCAGTACTAGCAGTTTGCAGTCAGGCCCCTGGTGCGACTCGAGGGGGCATGTTGGTGTGAAGGGGGTGTGCCGTGTCGCCCCGTGGCCTGCGAAAGGCCCCACGTCAGGCTGTTATGACTGGCGGCTGTCAAGGTGCTAGAATACTGACAGGCCGCCCGTCAGGACAGGCTACCTTAAAGCCCCTGCTGTGTGTCGGTAACAGCACCTCAGACTCAATATGTTTACGCCCAAGCAAGGGGCTATCGGTGGCAGGTCGCGGACCTCCCGACTACATGTAACGGCCAATTACTCTTGGCCGTGTCTGCTAGGTCCCAGAGAGACACCGTCTCTTCAGCAGTACATGCACAATGTGGTGCGAATTTGGCGGGATTCTTTGGCTGCAGCGGGCAAGGGTCACAAGTGTCCCTCGCCCCTTGCTCTCGGCCCACAAGTTTTTTCCCCTTTCCCAGACAGAGCGTCCTTCACGTCCGGGTGCGCGAGTACTACCGTATTTGGATGATTTCCTAATCATGTTTACTTCCGAGGAGCAAGCACGTTTTTGCGCGCGCTGGGTGCGTGAGATGATCGAGTTTTTGGGTTTGTCATGTCATCCCACCAAGTGCCAGTGGGAGCCGTCGCAGTCAGTGTATCACTTAGGCATTACTGTCAATACGGCAGCTGGTGTGCTTGAGGTGCCTAAGCAAAAGCTCGCCAAATTGTGGTGGCTGGCGATCGGGTTGCGGATCACGGCAAAGAAAAATCAGCGTCTGGTGCAGAAGTGCGAGCTGGCTAAGTTTTGTAGTTTTGCACAGAGCATCAAATTGGCCCTTACTCCAGCTCTCTTATTTCTCCGCAATTGTTACGATGATGTGAAGCAACCGGTTGGTTATCCTGGTCGAGTGTGCTTGCCCCATGGGTCGTTACGTGACCTTGGGTGGTGGGCGGACATCCCTACCCACCAATGCTCGGCGGCTATTCACCAGGGTCCTGCTGAAGTTGAGCTTTCAGTGGATGCATCGCGCCATTCGTGGGGCGCGGTCCTGCATGATCGTGTGGCGCGCGGTTATTGGTCGGCACCAGAGCTCTATGAGCACGTCAGTTGGAAGGAGTTGCACGCTGTCCATCCTGCATTAGAGTCCTTTCTTCCGTTCTTTCAGCAGTGTGGTGTCTTAATCAGTGTGGAAAACACGTGCACTCAAGCAGTGCTAGGGTGTCTTTCCTAGTCGTGCCGTACTGGACGGCCCAACCTTGGTGGCAACAGTTTATGGAGTTGGCGGTTGACCTTGTGTTCCTGCCTTCGAATACGGAGCTGTTTGTGCCGGATGAGGGAGGGTCGAGCACCTATCTACCCCCCTTCCTGGCAGGTCTGGCAGTGCGGGTGCAGTCGTGGTGTGGGCGCTTTCACATGGCACTCGGTCGGTCAGTGTGGCGCTGCAATTGCGGGGTCGTGTGCCCCCGAGGTGCGCTTTCCTAGCATTTCATGCCCCCCCTGGGGGCTCATAATATCTTGTAGGGGCAATGGGACCTCCAATGAGGTAGCGCCTTAATTGCATATTGTGCAGGGGAGCGGACACGCAGTTACGACGAGTGAATAGGAAGGAATTTGTTGTGCGAAGGTGTGCGCTCGGAAGGCACCGTGCAGGTAGTTGGTTTTTTCATCGTGTTGTGTCACCAGCGATTGGAATTCCCCTGATTTCGGTGCGGTTTCGCTTTGTTTGATATCCGATGGTACCGCCGGTTCCAACACCGCTGGTTCTGGACTAAGTTCGAGTACTTCTTTTGGCGCTGAATGGGTTCGTGTGTCTCCATTTCGCGGCCTTGTGTTTGTTGTTTGTCGTGTTAGGTCTGTGTCTTTTCTTCGTCCGTTTTCTCTGCTGTCGGTGACCTGGGTGCGTGGAGCGGTCATTGTTGCAGACCCGGTGTTTCAGTTCAAGCCCCTAGTTTTGGCCGCTTGGTCACCCCTGAGCGGGCACATGTTTTGGCTTCCTATCGCCCTTCCTTCAGTGGGTGTCCGTCAGCAACTGTTGAGTGATCCGTCGCGTCGGTGGCAGTGGGTCAGTCTGTTGGCGCTTTGCGTTTATCTTGTTCCCTCTTTTGCCTGCGTAGAGGTGGCGCGTCCGCCGCCCCTGCTGCTGGGGTGTCGTTCGGAGGTCTTTCGAGGCGTTTGGCTTCGGGAGTTTCGGTGTGCGTGCCTGTCTGGCAGCTCTCACGTCTTTGGCCCTCTTGCGGCTCGGCACGAAGCGCCGTGGTGGTTCAGTATTTCAACCGTTAGAGGAGGTATCTTCTCCTTTGGCATTTGTCTCTGACGCAACAACTTATGCGAGCTTGCGTTAAGTAAGAGGGTTTGTTGGGAGTTGGGAGTAAGTTGGGCGTAAGGCCCAGTGCAGCCCGTGTCCTCAGGGCAGTAATTCATTGCGCGCATTGCACTAATAAGATTATCTTGAATTTGTTGTTTAGCGCGTATGCATTTCTTATACTCACGCTGATCCTCCAATGACGACAGTGTAAGGTAAAGCCCAATGAATTAGCATCTTCATAACAAGAATCTGTCTTTCTTCCTCTATAATGGCGCACCATTCATTCGCAGGCAAGCAGGGGAAAGCAGGAAAAGGGGGACTAGACGGCACCGGCAGTAAGTGGCCATCATGCAGGTGCATACACTGACATTATGCCTTGCCATTTTACATTCCAAGGACACGAGCAGGAGAATCGCAAGGAACAGGACAAGCGCAAGGATGGTGGTAAGGATATGAACAAGATTCGGGCTCAAACGGGACGTGGCAGGCCACGTAGCGGCCGTTCGGAGGTATGAAGCCTCTGGTTGTAAGACCATGGCTATTAACTAAATGTTTTTTATTGCCTTATTTCGAGGCACGTTATGCTGGTGTCACACCTACAGCCGTCATTGTACGTAACATGCTCACAACTATGTGTTCCTGCCTAAACAATGATTTTGTTGTGATCCTTTCATATGCAGATATATGCCGTCGTTCGTGAAGATGACACCAGCGGAGGCGAGGATTGAGCGCTCTTATAAGAAGACAATAGTGGTACAGTTACATGCGCTTAACATTTGTGTGTCCATTTTTTCTGACGTTAGACTGTTGGACCCTTTTCCATGGTAAGAGTTGCTGGCTGAGTCGCATCGGTCATGTTAGGATTTGCTTGAATTCGTACCTGTCATTCAGGGATAGTTCAAATGTATGAAGAAAGCAGTGGGTGCTGTGGTTGACAGCTGTGAACCTGCAGGTCATGTGCAACGGCGGTGCACTTTGCACATTGTACAGCTCGTGTACTGCTATTGTAAAGCTTTTGTATTGCACGGTTGGCCGTACAGTTCGCAGTCCCGCACGCAAGTCGCAGTCACTCGCGTAAAATTCAAATGGTAGCACATGCATTCGCAGGATTCGCAGTCGCGTATGCCATTCGCAATCCCTTGCGTTTGGCGATACGCTCGCGTTAAAAGTTACCTGGTCGCGTTTAGGGTCGCGTAAAACTCGCGATATCATTCGCCACATTCGCATATGCATACGCATTCGCACCAGTCGCAGCCGCATATGCCATTCGCTTGCGTTTGCGTTACACCTATAGGTAAGGTAACGCTCGCGTTAAAAGTCACCTGGTCGCGTTTACGATCGCGTAAAGTTTGCGTTAGTTTGCGTTAGTTGCTTAAGCTAACGCACTGCCAGCCAAAATTACTCAGCTCGTTCGCATGCGAATAAAGATGATGTGCGTTAGGCCATACGCACAAGCGAACCGGTGCGTTATCAGTGCTTAAGATCGCGTTACATCACGTTAGCGTCGCGTTAAACTCGCGTTAAAGCCTCGTAACGCGAATTTAACGCGACGTAACGCGATCACCCGTCGTCATAGTGTATAATGCGCTACCGGCGTTTAGAGATCCTTTTTCGGCAGCCAGCTAGTAATACAAGTTGTTATTTATTCCTATATCGCCCGCCACCACGAATCCTCTGAGTATCACAAAACCGCCGCCGCAGCGAAGGCTTTTCTGGATCAAATCAGCAATACTTTTCGCTATGCGAAAAGTATTAAAAAAACGATTGCCCCCCGTTAGTTGATGTTGTTACAGGGTGGTTAAGCTTCACCAGTGGCCTCCTTCCCGAGGCAGTTCCCTGCTCTCCCCTGCTAGAGGGGCACCCTAATCCATTCACCCCATCCGACTTCAGAGTGTACTCTTTGAGTTTGGCAACTCACCACCAGCATCCAACCAAATCTAGCGGATCAACGGCGCGTCAACTTAGTTCCTGGTCAGCTCGCAAGTTGATTTTATCACGTCCTACATCATCCATATGATGGGGGGCCACCTCCCATTTCAACACTCCTCAAACACCCGAGGAGTCGGGAGGCGGATATGAACCCGGGTCGGCCGGGAGCAGAAGTCAGGCCTTAACCTCTGCCAGCCGCCTGCCTTAGTTAGTTATTGTCAGCAGGCTTGCACCGGACTTACAGGGTGTTTCCACTTGGCCGAACACTAACACTATGTTCGAATGTTCTTCGTCCTGGACTCGTCTCTCACATTTCTAAATGCGTATATTGATATAACTAATGATAGTAACAAATATTCATGAAACAAATTGGAGTTGGGGCACTCCTGGCGGAGAACCGTAAGGCCTAGTGGAAACACCCCGTACACGAAACACCCCGTCACAAAGTTAATGGGACCTCAGACCTGCCATTAACTTGCAAACCTAGCACTGACTATATGGCGGGCAACTTTTAGGAGCTGGTGCCTTCTGACCACAGACCTTTGATCTGAGCAGCTATCTTTTTTCCTTCCTGCAAACGCCGCCTTGACTTGCGCACGCCCAACACCGACAGCCTTAGAAGGCTGTAGTCCGTGAGGGCTGCCAGGAAAAGCCTTCGATCCATATTTTTCTTACAGACCTTGGCAATTAGCAGCAATTGATACCTGGCGTTAAAACATCCAAAATACGAAAACAATTTTGGTTTCGGCGCTCCTTAGTGCAGCTACTGGAAACACCGTCACACTAGCACTGCACTAAGTCCACACTCGCCCATAATGTAACGAAGATAGTGTGCGCTCAAGTGGAAACACCCTGTAACAGGTTCTTTTGATGATGAAGCTCACACGAAGGCCGGTACGTAGCAGCTACATACTTAACCCCCGGTAATGCCCCAGTTGCTGCCACAGCAGCATTGCAATCACACAACAAAATAGCTAACAGTTTCAGACGCGTCAGTCGCGCCGATCCAACCGCAACATCGATCCACCCGCTCGTCGATCTAACCGAAAAAACGCCCCTCGCGCACATGCCGCACCGTACTCATCCAGGAGAAATCCAACTCGATTCTGTAAATCTGTAGTTAATATATTATGAATTAATGAGAAATGATGTGTGAAATCTGTTTATCTGTATTTATGTATCTTTCAACTTGGCGCATAAACACGGTTTCTGCACTGCAAGCTATGGTACACTTGCAAGTTTCCATCGCCGCTTTTCGATCATCATATTTCCACGCACGTCTTCCTCAAAATCATATAATCATCCAATGCATCTACGTGACCAACAAATAAATGGGGCACTGACGGGGGCTCCGTTTATTCCAGTTTCAATTTGCGGCCGACTGTACTGCGATCTGTCGCGTCCCCTCGCTGTTTTTCGACTTCATCGCGATTCAGGTTATGTATTCCTCAAGCTCTACCATCAGCATCAGCCTCATTAGCGCATTTGCCTGCTGTCGATTGGTCTGCCGTAACACCTTCGAGACCGAACGGGTCATCTAGATTAAGAATATATACACCTGGCATCATGACAATCTTTGTTTACATTATTATTTCTTTACAACACGTCAAGTAACAACTCATGAAGAACCGTTTAAACCTAACAATATGGAAGGGATTCCCTTAACGGCCATAGTCGGCGACTTCCAGCGGGGCAACTTGGGACAGAAATCCATGCTTTGGCAGGAAGCTACGCCCTTAGACAAAGAATGCCTTCTCCTCTCGCGGCCAGCGCGGAGACGAGCTGCGGCTGTTGCTATGACAGCGGCGGAGGGCGGCGGCACTTATACAGCAGCAATAATGCTGCCGCCGCCACCACCATCACCATTACCATTACCCTCGCCATCGCCAGCGGCAGCAGCAGCGGCAGCGGCAGCGGCGGCAACGACGATGTGGCCGATGTGGGAGCAGAACTTGGAGCGGTTTCAGCATTTGGACGACCAGATGGGTTATCTGGGAAGCTCCCTGGAGTTGCTGGTGCTAAGCGGCGACTTGGCGACTTCAGTGGGGGTATCTACCCAGGGAATGGCGGCTCAGCATTCACAGATAACGTCGATGCTAACGAGGCGGCAGCCGCCAGCACCCACGGCGCCCTTGCAGTTTGAGGAAATTGCGAATGGGGGTATACAGCGAAGGGAAACGGAGACGAAGGCAGCGGAAGAGGCGGCGAAGGCAGGCAAGCCTTTTATGGGGGGCACGGGGGCAGTGGGGGGGGACCTGGAGGAGACACTGCCGTTTGGACGACAGGCGCGGCCGCAGCCACCGCTGTTGCCGCTGCCACGTCTCCTTCACGGGCCGTCGTCGTGGGCCCGGCCATTAGACCTGCACTTCCACAGCGGCAGCACCGGAGACGCTGCTGGCAGTGGCGGTGCTGGCATCAGTGGCGAAATGCCGAGTGCCGATGCAGTCGTCATACTTGAAGTTAGGAATCGCCAATTGCCTTCTCCGACCATGGCGGGAGTGCTCGAGTCCGCTGCAGCGGATGCGGGGCCAATGATGACATCCATGGCGCTGGCGCTGGCGTCGGCAGCGGCGTTGGCGTCGCCAACGTCGACGGCGTCGGCAGCGGCGTTGGCGTCGCCAACGTCGACGGCGTCGGCAGCGGCGTTGGCGTCGCCAACGTCGGCGGCATTGGTACCAGCTGACGCGGAGGACCTGATTGCATTCCTGACACAGGATGAGTCAACGGAGCAGTACGAGTACGGTACGGCCAGGTACGACATTGACGACAGCAGTACTACGTATCGCTGGTTGCCCGTCATCCACCACCACGGCGATTGCAGAATGGGCTGTGAGTGCCATCAGTGCAGTGACAGCCGCTGTGGAGGCGGAGGAGGTATTGCCGGTGGCCTGTTGGAGAGCGACTGCTCATGCGCCGCCAGCAGCCGCCGCCGATGGCGATGGGCAAATGGGCTGTTTCGGCGGACGAATCCGGCGGCTTGCTCAAAGCCGGGCGTGCGCTGTTGTGTTGAGCCGCCGCAAATCGGCGGGAGGAAAGGGGAAGAAATTAGTGGGCTTTTAATTATCTGAGCGCCGCATGCAGAAAATGAGACGTTGTTTCGCTATAACT